GCAGCCACGACTGTACGACTTTAACAGTAAGATTCTACAGTACCGCGTCTTACCGTATACATCAGATGCCGATCGGAAGCCACCACCACTTGGTTCTATAGCGTACTGCGGAACTTGCTGCGCGGGAAGGTAGGTGCCGTTCCGATTAACGTATCCCGAACCTGATGCGGCACAATCGCTGCGCGGCTGCCCAAAACCCGCCGGCAGCAGACGAAGAGTCGTATGCACTGCACTGAGTAGCCGGATAGGTGTTAGACGCATGCAGCTGATGGTGCACTAAAAAATCGATTTTGGTTAGCACCGGCGCCGCACAGTGCGTGATAAAATCAAGTTGAGTACCAAAATCGAATTTTTATTTTCATGAATGTAAGCTAATGATTTTATCCTGTGCGACTGAATTAATAAATTAACTCACCCAAGTTTGGATATTTGGCATTCGGATGAGGGATGAATGGCTGAGTAAGCTTTGACTGCACAAACCGACGACGTTTGGACTTCTCGGGCGCATTCGGTGCCTGCCGTCGTTTGGGAGAAGTAGGCGGCGTGTCCAAAACTTGTCCACATCCGGTCTGCACGTATACATCGAGCTGGTTTTCTTTATTTTCACCGTCGCTGGCCAGGTCTTTTAAGATGACATCCATTTCTTTGTCGTCTAGGAAATTCAGGGTCGGTTCTAGGGCGTGAATGGGATCGTACATGTCAGCGTTGCTGTTGACGGTCGGGACTTGATTATCAACAGTCCACACGTCACATCCGAACATGCCATACGGCGGATACTCCTGCTTCTTTGGTGCCGGTCCGAGAATCGCGGTGATACGTTGATAGTTCAATGGATCGAGCACAATCCGGTTGAATTCTGTGTAGTACCTTAACAGATAGCCGAACTGCTGTGCCGTAACAACTTCAGCATAGACAGGGCTGTCGTCAGGACGGATGGGTACAAGATGGACAAAACAATCGTTAATGGAATGAGTAAGACGATCGAAGCCGGTCTGGAACACAGTCTCCTCGAATTCCTGGTAGAAACTCAGCGAGAAGCAGAGCGGTGACTTAGGACTGCCGAACAACATAAGGACTGAGCGCTCTTTGGAGAAAGCGCCGTGCAGCTGTTCCTCTTGTGGATAAAACAGCTTGTAGTATAACCCGCAGCAGCTCGACATCTCTTCCGGTGTGGGAAGTAGATAGTCGTGCAGCGTAGAGTTAACCAACGCCCGGAAGTGCAAAGTGTCCTTTGCAGTTCGAGGCGGGATTGCTTCGGCCGGGCCATAGCTTAAAACTTGACATATCTCAAGAAAGAAAATAGAACAACATGCGAGTATAACACTTTAAAGCTAAACACGGTTGGAACCGACGAAATAAAAGTTTAGATCCTTGTTGAACGTTAAATGAATTTTGACAATTTATGCGTGGACATTGTCCACATGTTCCGTGCTTGACTGTATTTGTTACTGTGTGTATGTGCCACTAGGTTACTGATGCATTCATGAGATTGGTCGCTTTCAAATCTGTGTCACCACCGAGTACGCCTACAAATGGCAAGCGCATAAATGCAGTTGCCCTTGAAATTGATATATTGTATTACTTTGTGGATAAGCGCAACGTTCACAGCGGGACATTGCACATCAACCTTTAATATTTTTCAACAACATTTCCTTTTTCATACCACCCAGTTCGGCTACGTACTTAACAACAGCAGACGCCTTATGGGCGTTAATTTTCCCGTATTCAGATATCAGACATTCAACAATTTTCTTGGCAATGCGCATATTGGATTTGTGTTTGTAGAAATCTTTTGCATTCGATGCGCAGAAATACTTGGACTTCTTAATTAGCTTAATTAACAGCGCCCGTACTGCATCGCTCACTACCAAATCAGACGGGATATCTCTCCCGTAATCAACTGGAACTGCCAGATCTGGTAACAATGCGTTACCATATTCGTCAAAATCGGCTTCATGGGACAGGCGAAATCCCTGCTCAATAAACTCCTGATCGAAGTCGTACTCTTCCAGAACGTCTGAAGATGCACTATCTCGTGCATCCGGTGGTAGGCTGCGGGATCGCATATATGCACGTCGATTCCCACCATAAAACGTCTCCATACGATCAACTAGTTCACGATCGGTCTCGTTAAGATACTCTGAATGACGCTTCTGATACTCTTCAAACACATTCATCTAAAAAAAATTTTGAAAAATTTCGAATTTGGTATGCATTTATGATGCAACACATCACGTAAAATCGAAGTTGCTTACCAAAATCGAAGTTTTAATTTTATGAATTTTTTTCAGTTTTTTCAAGTACACTGCATATGCAACAAAGGAAAACAGTTATTCAAATTATCAAAGCGATAAACGAGATGAAAAAGCGCAGCTGACAATAAATAAAAGCTATGCTGCCATCGTAGCACTTAATCCTACTTATCTCTGCGGGATACCGGCAGATCAACGCACAAAAGAAAACCGTTAAAAAACTTTACACTCGAGTAACTCAGCTAATTCGCTGCGACAGTATTTGTACTAATCTGTTTGAAGAAATGATATTAAATTTGACTGTAAACTGATCAACGCTCTTGTGCTGAAGGTGAAAATAATTACTGTAGATGCGCTAACAATGCTTATATTAATGTGCTTAAATACTCGTATGATTATCACCGTACTTATGCGCGCTGTGTACTGTACATATTCTACTATTCTGATGTGCTGTTATGAATAAATACACCACAGTGCGCAATCAAGAGGTATACATAAAGCTTTCACAATCAAGAGATGTACATACACACAGATAAAGCATTCACAAGCAACACGCACATAATTAGTTGCACTTTCATGTACGCATAAATAATGACGGTTCGATAAATTTAAAAAAGATGGGAATAATATTACGAATGTTGAAACGATGTAATAAAAATAAAATGAAAAATTAGAAAAATTCGGTTATTATTGCAGCATTTTTGTTAAAACACTCGATATTATAAACGTATAAGCGTACATACAATACTGAATAATTGTATCTGTAACACCGGTATGCAGTATTGAATAGCATGTATTAATAGCGCACGTCAGCTTTGCCATTGAAATTCAGTTGGCATTAAATGATTTTGTGAACGGGTAAATGTATCGCACTTATTTGGGAATTACTTTAATATTTTACCCTTAACATTAGTATTTTGCTATATTGTTATAATAATTTATTGAAATTATTCAGCGCAATTATTGCGCGCAAAACACACAGGCACGTACACCACACGCACACGATAGCGCATAACACAATTCCTAGATTTTTTTATTTATTTAAACTTACTTCTGTCGGTATGGGCAGTTCGCGACGTCCAAATGGTAAGGAAATAAAGCCGCACGTTATAATGGGCAAATCTGTGATAAAAGAGCGCTTATTAATTTAGCGAAATATTATTAGCAATAAAAAGTGTGCATATATACGGATACAAAAGACCGTACAACAACACTGAATTAATATTATATAAAATATATTTATTAAAAGAGCAGTCAATTACGGCAACACGGTGTTGGTACAGCGCGAAAACCAGATATTTTATACGTACTAACGCAAAATACACATGATGTACAGTACGTAAATGATGTACAGTACGTAGTGTGTATGACATGCAGCATACGAATTTTTCTATAGATGTGATAAAGAAATTACGGTAACACGGTGTTGGTGCAGCTACTTAATTTTTACTTGATTTTATTAAAATATTTTGAAATTTTAATTGCTTACCGTGAGCGCCTCACGGAGGTGTTGTTTAGTGCCGGGAGATGGGTGCGGCACACTGATTAGGCGTGGGAAACGTCGCTAGCACAGCAGGGAAGCAAGCGCTCGTGATAGAAGCTCCTACAGAACAAAATCCCAAAACATATACACGCCTGCAAACCAAGAGCAGCGCCGGAATTTTTAATAAAAATAAATTTTAAAAAGCGTAATCAACCACGATAACACGGTGTTGGTGCATCGTCAGAACTGTGCACATAATTATTTGTTTTAAAATTTTCCAGATTTTCGGAAAAAGCAATAAAGATCGCGCAGTAGATACACATTCAGTACGAGAAATCCGTCAGCATTGTGTCTGAACAGAGAAACGCTTGCTCTCGCAGATTATTTATTTTATTTTTATATTTTTGATTTTCCGAGCGCATTTACTGAACACCGCGCAAGAGACACACGTTCAGTGCTAATAAACCATTAGCAACAGATTCGAACAGAGAAACACGTGTTTGCGGAGTATTTTTTAGTAAAAAATGAACTTTCGCTTATTTGCCACACACACTTCGAACAAAACTGTCCGAAATATGCCGTAGTCTCGGTCGTTTTATTTTAATTTAAATTATCTACACTTACAGTCTGTGGATAACGTGGAAATGTCAGTGGGTGTGCTGCGCTGACGATGGGGAAAGCTGGCGCGATACCTGTAAAACAGTCGCAGATATCAGCACCATTGCCTCTGTGCATTTCCACATCTGGCACAAAAAACCGTAGGGAAGCGCGCTTTTATATTTTATAATTATTTTTTATAAAATTTCGCACTTACGCTGAGCTGAACTACGGCAACACAGTGCAGGTGGACGGTGCGCACACTGGGAATCTGCACAATAACGCAGATATCAGTGCCAAAACACTGTACAGTCGTACAATTGTACGAAAAAAACAAACCGCACACATTTTAAAATATTTTTATAATTATTTAAGAAGTACAAAGTACTTACTTGAGCGACAACACGCGCGGAGAGACGATACGGGACCACAGTGCTGACGCAGCAGATCTCCAAACAAACTGGCACGTTTGAGTGCCTGAATCAACGGATTCCGCGAAAAAACCAACCGAGGCGCGAAAAAACACACACTCGTACACTGTCCTTAGCAGAAGGACAAAAATCCAAGGAGTAGTACGGCGGGATGACGGGAAAACGTTGGGGTTTTCGCAAATGTAAATTCTAATATTTTTAGAATTTTTGAGGAGCCAAGATATGGCGTTGGCCAAACTACGCCGTGTGCATAGCGTCTTCAAGACGCTAGCCAAGACAGAAGCCTTTGTGCGTCAGTTACACATACACCGTACACGCAGGCTCAGGTGTGGTGGCGCTGCTAACAGCGCGCGCTTTTTTACTTGTACATATGTACATATATGTAATTAGTACGGTAATTAAGTTTTTTATTTGTACAGTGTGTTTTTTATTCGTTCAGTATGTTTTTTAATTTATTTTCATATTTTTTAACTCGTTAATTAGAAAAAATGAAAATTAACTATTGTTTCCACTAATTAATTACGTAAGTTAATGAAATTAATGTAAATTACTGTACTCTATTGTTTAATTTAATTAAAAGTAATTAAAAAGTTAATTATAGGCAGGTGGTACTGTATATACAGGCAGGTGGTACTGTACGGACCCCTGGGGTGTTCCTGGCAGTGGATGTCTGTGTATTCTACTGAGATATCAGAAAAATCAGCCGTCTCCTCGTCGAACGCCGTTGGCATCCCCAAATGTTTTAGCATGGGCTGCAAATTCCAGCTCCGTTCCACATGGAACCGCGGCAGTTGCACTGTCACATGCAGCACCTTGCACAGCTTCCGCATCGCATGCTGGAGCTTCTCTGCGGTAAGCATTCTGATGAAACTGGCCAGACCTTGATTGGGCGGTGCGCGAGGGGCGTGTTTTGACTTCCCAGGCACTGTCTTTCCGGGTAGAATGAACACGGCATTGCAGTATCCGGTCTCAAAGGGCAATTCCAAGAACATAGCTCCATCCAGTTCCCTCCTTATGTGGACCTTGTAATTAATGAATCGTTCCTGCATGGTATCCACCGGAATGCTGACACCGGCCGCCGTTGTGAAAGGCTTAACTCTGGTCTCGGCCCGGTCGAACTGCTGGTGCCAACGCGCTGTTAAATGCAGAGCACTAACCAAAATGAACTTGGCATCATTCTCGGCCATATCCAACGGCGACAGCAGATCGTATACAATGTTCTTAGTGTTGGCTTTGATAAATTCGTTTATACAGTAGACCGCGGCACCATCGCGCTCGTCGAAGTCAGTGTGTCCTGAATGGTGGACAGGAAAAGCTTCTCCATTTCTGCTATGTAGTTTCTGCTTAGGTAGACATCTTTGCTAAAGAATGCACCGTTGGCCATATGCAGCTTGTGATTATCGTTGGGCACTACAAAACAGCCTGTTAATTCAAAATGGCAATGTCGTAATGCACTAGCGCGTTCAGTCGGCTCAATGCCTACAAATATTTACCAAGCTCATCGTAACCGTTGTCCGCGGTTTCATCCACGTGGATCTGGCGCAGAGTACGTGCGACATCGAGCGTACTGTAGTCGTCATGGAGACCCAACACTTGCGAGATTTCCTTTTTTGTTCGACCGTTGGAACCATGATGTGCCATCGCAAGAGCAATTTCCGCCGAGAAGGGTGATAAGAGCAGATTGTTGGTAAAGTGCTGATTCTTCACCGCACAACGAAGCATTTTTAGGCAGAGATCCAGGCGAGCCATGCTGTATTCTGGAAAGTGGGGCCGTACCTGCATTCTTACTATAAAATTTTCAAGCAGTACGAATAAATATCATGCGGAGACTCGGTAACCTTAAACGTTATAAATCTGGTAATCAAGATGTCATCATAGATATGTCTTATATAAATTTGACTTGGATTAGGGCAGCTCAGGGTGAATCAGAAAACATACGTTCGATATGAGCAGTGGCTGCAGTGAGTAAACGTTTGCGAAAAACAGATCGATACATGATACATCATGGGTTATTCATGGCATGCAGAATGGCATCTTGTATAGAATACGGTGTGCGTTGGCTGCACGTTACTTCCAGAACGATTAGAAGCTTCAGCGTGTCACCAAACCAATGACGCAAGCGCCGCCAGATAATAATAATTTAAATAGTACTGATTTATAAGTCTGCAGTTTGTACTAAGTACTTATTTGGTTTTCTGGTAGTCGTTTTCTTGGTTTTGTAGCCAGAAAAGTAAGAGATACCTAGGTCATACATGCCGTTCTGGAAACGGTTCATGGATACAACGTCCGTGTCGGCTGACCAAAAGTAATTAAAGCTGTAAGGTGCCTGACAAAATTTACAGACTGACTGCACGGTTCGTAACCAACTAATCATACTTTTGCTGTGCTTCTGTTAACTGATAATGCGAACCAGAATACAGGAGAGCGAGATAATTTCCGATCGCACTGTAAATTTTGTGCATGCCGGGGAGGACACCTCAAACCACCAACGTTGTACTGACAGTTTGAAAATGACCAGTCCACAGTTTTTGTTGTTGTTGCAGTTTATTCACCTAGGGTAGCCCGCAACGAAATTTCTGAGTTTACACGAGCCGGGCTTTCTTCACGCGCAGTCTACTGGTTGCTACCTTTGAGGAAAATCAGCGCTCCCTGGACAGTCTGTCACCGTGCGGCTCGAGGGCGGATCTCCATTGGCTGTGGCAACCTCTCTGCGTACGTTGATGAAGAGCATTGACGTTGTTCTTCTACAGCCCGTTTCCTAATTTTTGACTTTGAAAAAATGGGGGGCGCCTTATACAGAGCGGAGAATGAGGCTTTGAAAACAGAGGCTGAGACTGCTTCGGCTCTGTGCAATTACAAGCATTGATTAACATTTAAAATCAGTGTGCAGCGGTTGTACAGCAAGAATAGTGTGCATATAATCACACTCACTACAGTACGTACAAACAAAACTGGGAAATTGACTGTAGGTATTTACAAACGCTTTTATGTTGCATTTTCATCGCTGGTTTCGATAAAGATCAAAAGTCCTGAGCACAGCACAGGTCCTCTAATCTAAACAATGTAAAAAAATATCTGTTTGTTACAAAGTGAGAAATGATGCCAAATGCTGCAGAAAGCAAACGCATCACAAAAAAATGGCCGCTATGATAGTGGATAAACGTCACCGAAGGATAGGGGCCCAAGCGGAAGTCAGCAAGGTAGTTCAAGTAAGATTCTATCCATAAAGCTCTAATCCCGATTAGAATACACACTAACTACGCTATAGGTAGCCCCTACGAGATTATGAATGTGGTAGAATGAAACCACTCCAGCAAGAAAACGACAAAACAACCTTACTGCTTGCTACGTGTTTGGACATGAAGTGTAAATTCTGTACCTGCCTTTTTCTTTACTCATTTTTCGGGTCTTAATCCCATTATTATGAAAAATCCCATTATCCGTAGAAAATTCTAGTAATAGCTTGCTCAGTTTTCGTAAAAAAATGACTTCTGATCTCCAAAGATCAGCAGAGCACGGCTAAGCGAAAATTTAAAAAAAGTGTGCAGTATTATGTACATGCTACGCATATCAGCTGTACTACCACAGACACACGGACATTTATTTCAATACATATTGCGGTCGCACCAGTAACTGTGGACCTTTCCCATTGTCAAACATTCTCATAAACAATGTCTGTATGCGTTTGCGCATGCCATTGCTGTTCTAAATTAGAACAAACATTAATCTGCTAATCTTTATGCACGAATTTCCATACTTATATACTAGTAAAATGACCAACATGGAATGCTTAAGAATTTACAATTTTTATACGCTCCAGTGCGGTATCTGTTTACGTGATCGATGTAGGTGCAGATGGATATCAAAGCAGACGCTCATTGTAAAGCTTGAAGACAGCGCGTCGGGGACAGTTAAATATAGACATGCAGTACAGGCGGCTTCTTGTTAACTTTTGGCAGAAGTTCTCGATTAACTGCAGCCGTTTTATCTGCACTAACGAGAAGCAGAACGGAGGAAAGTTGTTTACGCAACAGAAGCAGCCCAAAATTATGCATTTCCGGGCGTACGTGTTTTTGTTTACCGTCGCTATTCTGTTTGCTGCAGCGTTTGCTGGTACGTTGACATCTTGCAGAACTCACACTTTTATTTTAATTTTCTGTTGGTTTTCTAGACCCGGTCAGCGAACTGGAAGTCGAATGTAGCGCACTATCAGCATCCACTGCAACTCACGAACCCTTCGTCCCAATGGAGAAATTATCCTTGCGCACGGATAATTTTACGCAAGCCGAATATGAGGCCTACTCTGCTTTGAGGAACAGCTCAACGACTTTCTGCAACATTGCTCCATTAGTGCAGTCCTATTCTCATCAGCGACTGGGTCGGCGCACGGTTTACCTGACGTACATCGAAGCGCGCTGTTTGAACGGAGTCCGCGCCGCGGCCTCCCAATTGACTCTCAACATCCGCAACATCAGCTCCGACCGCGCGGTAACCCTCCTGTTGGACGAACGCGCTGACACGGACGATCCGGTGCACTATGACGTCATCGACCCGGTTCGTCACCTGCTGATCGAGCTGCACGTGCTGCGCTGCGCCACGCCGATTATCACCGGCAAAATCTACGCTGCCGGTACACTTCCAAATTTGGTGACCCTGGAACTGCAAGGCTGCAGTACATCGCAATAGCGCAAAAACACCGGTTTTATGTGATAATTACAGATTCTGTCATATCAGTGTTAAATCTTTCCACTGGATCCAAGATTCTCTGAACCTCCACCTGATGCTTTTCAGTAGTGGCAGTTCGGTCACCCGCTCACCTTGCGGGCTCCGTACACGGGACAGTACCGGTATCTCGGTCACCCGCTCACCTAATGAGCTCTCTCCACTAGAAAGGAGTGATAGTTCGGTAACTAGCTCACCTAGTGGGCTCTGTGCATTGGACAGTAGTGGTAGCTCGGTCACTTGTTCACCTAACGGGTTCCGTACACTGGAAAGCAGCGTTAGCTTGGTCTTAGAAGCTAGCTAGCGTTAGCTTGGAAGGAATAGAAGCGGCTTCGCCTCCACGTTTCTTGTACTTCAGGGTCCGAATCAATGAATAGCTCGGTTACACATTCACGTAACGTTTTGAGCATTAGATAGTGGTGGTAACTCGGTCACTGACTATGTCAATTAGCGATTTTGCTCACTGGAAAGTAGTGATAGCTCGGTAAATCACTCACTCAATTAGCGATTTTGCTCACTGGACAGCAGTGGTAACTCGGTAACTCACTCACTCAATTAGCGATTCTGCTAACTAGACGGCAATGGTAGCTCGGTAACTCACTCACTCAGAGAAGTCCTTCCTTTGTTTAGAAGAGTGATCCTGCCAAAATCAAATAGCCCGATGTCCGTATGGTTAAGACCAACCATTATAATATTACAAATGTGCCAACAACGAAAATCGATAGGCTGACATGTGGTTATTTAATTGTGGTTGGTGTTGTACGAAAATAAGTTCAATTTATTCGTTTAATTTGCGTATTTAATAGTTTATGTTGCGTATTGTATCCAGGCAAAATTTTTCAAAGTTTCAAGGTCACCTTGAAACTTGGTTGGATCGCTTGCGGCATCGTGTCGGCACGATTCTGATCGGACGTATTCAAAAACAAAAGTCATGTGACGCAGTTCTGGACCACGGCCGATCTAACTGTGGTATCCGATTTTTTTAAAAGCTTTTGCTTAGAGATCTCCAGACTGTGGGGAGGCCGCGCGTAATATTGATCTTTTTCTTAATATGTCAGATATAAGTATATTAATTTTTCTACGTGTAATAAAGAAAGGGAAATTTAAATAAACTTTGATTTTAAAGCATTGGTGCTGTGAGACCGGGATCACTAGCGTTCACGTCAGTGGCGCTAGGCGCTACGCCTTTGGATTATGGCCTGTGTTGTGTCTCGCTTCTGATTGGCTTGTGTTTTGTTAGTGGGCGCGGCATAGCACGTGCTGCACAGCGTTGCACGCTGTTGAATGGGCTCCACGCTTTACGATCGAGCTGCGCCGATCAGTGTTGATTTTCTGTTGTCGGAATTTTCAATATTATTAAAAGTCAGCTATTAGCGGTGCGACGTTTCGCGATTCCGCGTAGTTCGCTATACTTATCGCATAGCTCACTCCACGGGATCTATTCCGTTTAGGTCTCCGTATCTGGATCACAGTTGGATCTAGCATTAGATGGTAGCAGAGCCGACAGCGGTTCTCTGAATTTGATTTGATTTGTGTCAGGCAAAGTTGGCCTGTTATCTGATGTGAAACCCGACCAGTAAGGCACAGGTCTGTACCACAGCAAAGCGCAACACCACAAGCGGTGCAAGTTCCTCATCGGACGTGGATTTCCAGCCTTGTTTTCGGTGCAGCGTCTTCAGCGAAGACCTGTACTGTTGCAGGGACTGTGCAAGAGTTCAAGAGAGCAGTCGCCAGTGTTCCTCGGTGTAGAGTCTTCAGCGAAGACCTACACTGGTGTCACTGGTACTCGGCAAGGATTCAGCGAATCCTAAGCCGTGGGGCAGAAGCGCCGAAACGCCGAAAGGGGCGTACGGAAAAGACGGATCAGACTCCACCAAACTGGTGTAGAGCGTACCACTACTGTTGCTACGGCAGTCAGCCGGCACAGTAACCTATCGAAAGCGTGCGGCACCACCGTTACGGTAAAACCGGCGGCAGCGCGGGAACGGATAGTGGAAGAAGAATCTGGATCATTTGGATCATTTCCCCGTGGAACGCGGAACGGACGGACGGTTAACAGGTAGAAAACCGTTAATAATTACGAGATTGGCTAGTTGGTAAAATTGGCAATTTTTATTGGTCCGTACTGAGCTGAGTGTAAAAGTAGGCGGAGTTTTGCACGCGGCGCGCATGTCTGGCCGTTGACCGTGACGTCAGGCAGATAAGAATTCTTAACGGATTAACGTGATTGGTCAGTTATCTGAGCTGTGATTGGTCGACATTTGAACTGAATATTTTGAGCTAGCGGACCAATCAGAACGAAGTAAACAACCCGAATGGGGATTTTCCGTTGAACTCAAGTCGTAATCGGAAATTTGATTTAAGATGAGATAACTGAGCGGGAAAGTGACCTTTAGACTTGAATTGAGTTGAGAAGTGACCTTTTGAGTTGAGACGAAGGAAAAGTGACCTTTGATCGAATTGAGCTTAAAAGTGACCTTTAACTTGAATTGAGCGGGAAAGCGACCTTTTAACAGAAATTGAGCTGGAAAGTGACCTTTCGAGTTGAGTTGAGTCAGAAAGTGACCTTTGAGACCAGAAGTTGACTTTTGACTTTGAAAAGTGACCTTTACCAAAAAGTTGGAATTGACCAAATTGACCAATTTAAGTGACCTTTATGATCTGAAAACTGACGAACGGTGACCTTTATCGAAGCGAAATTGAACTGAATAGTGGTACAACGATATCAGCAGCTGTAGGATTTCATTCACTAACGTGTTTGGAACCGTAAAAGCCGTTTCGAAGTTTTGTCCGAAAGTGACCTTTTAGGGCAAATCTCTCGAACTTTTTACCGAAAAAGTGACCTTTATAAGGGACTTAGTTGAAATTTTTTCAATCGAAAAGTGACCTTTACAAAGGACTTAGAAAGAATTTCGAAGTACGAAGTGACCTTTAGGACAACTGAATAAACCATACAATAACGTGTGTGTGAGAACAATTGGCAGGAGCGTCCAAGTTATCCGATCAACATGGACAAAGAGGAACCGACATCCACTAGCAGTCAGGGAAGCAGGAGCTCCCGGGGATCACAACAAGGCACAGTTGATCCTTATAAGAAGGAATACAAGTCGCTCGCGCGTCCAGTCGGACATGATAGACAGACCCGAGCGGCTGTGACCTTTGCAAGAAAGGACAGCAAAGGCAGTGATAACACATACCAAGTGGCGCTTGGAGCTATACAGAACGAAGAGAGCTCCAGCGGTGACGGAAAGGAAACTCCCGCGTCTACGGCGGGAGGCAATCCGATGAACCAGATAAAGGTCACCGGGGAGGAGAAGTCCACAGAAATAGGAGTGGAAGCAATGGGGGCATTACAGTTGGATGCTACCATTAGCGGAACGGACGAGCAGGATAAAAATGCAAACCTGACTCAATCGAAAATGGAAAAGACAAAGGTCACCGGAGAGGAACTAGCTGAACTGGGATTGGATGACCTTTCACTGAATGATAAGACCGCGGACGATGACCTTTTTGCAACTCCAATGGTCTCAGATGAATCCAACGAGTCATACTTCACAGATGATGACGCAACGATGAATATGTCTTTTCAAACTGCAATGAAAGAGGCTGACCGAGCAGAAGAAGTGACCCCGTTTAAGGATATCCCCGAACATTTAATTGACCGGACACAGAATGGAAAGGTCATCAATGTACGACCACAGTCACCAAACAGTCCCACGTTAACTCTTAGGAGACGCGTAAGGGAGCTGGAAAATGAACTTGATACCACTGAACGTCATGCGGACAAGCGGAAACAGGAGTATCGAGATAGATTATCGACACTCGAAACTCGCTTATTCGAATTGGAACAGCTACAGGGTGACCTCCAGAGCTCTGCAGACGGTTGGAAAGTCAAATATGAGCGACAAAAGGAAATTGCAGAAGAGTACCTAAAGATGGCAGATGACAGAGAAATGGAAGGTCATCTCGCTGTCAGTGACCTTAATGAGAGCATGTCAGAGGAATCAGCAGAAAGGTCACGGCACTTGGCGGAATTGAAGGATGAGTGTGACCAGTTGCGTCAAAAGGTCACTGAAGCTGAAACTAAACGGGACGAATACGCGACCAAATTCGCAGAGGTCACACAACGGTTAACGACATTGGCAACGGAGACGTTCAAACTAAGGAATGACCTGAAGCTACGGGAGGAGGCTGTCAGCACTCTGCAACTAGAATCGAAAGGTCATCAGGAACGGGCGGACGAAGCTGAGAAGTTGCGCAATGATGCAATCAAAGCGATGCGAGAGGCAATAGACATCACAGCTACTGAAGGAGAACGCCTGAAAGAAGAAATCAAAAAGGTCAACCAGGAGAACGAAAAGGTCACAGAAGACATTGAAAAGGTCACTAAGGAAGGACTCAAATGGCAGAAGGAAGCACGGCGACTGGACACGATGGTCACAACATTGGAGTTGAAGGACAAAGAGTGGCAACAACAGGTCGCTCAAAAGAGTCAGGAAATTGCAAAGTTGAACACTGACCTCGTCGAGATGACCACCACAGCATTGGTAAAAGATGATGAGTTGATCGCAATCAAGGATCAGCTGAGATCAGCCGCTGGGCAGTATCAGCAACTCGAAAAGAAACGAGTGAGCTGGTCGAGCACATCAAAAAAAATGGAACGGGAAAATGAAAAGGTCACCCAGCAGGAGTCTTTTAAACTGCAGGAACACTTACGAAAGGTCAACCTGGAAAATTCTGATCTAAAGAGGAAAGAGAAGAACTTCAACTGAGAACTAAACGATTGGAAGATGAGAACAAGGCGCTCCAGACGTCTAACAAGCACAAAGATGAACAACTCCTACAATACGGAGTTAAAACGGCAACAGTGGAGTCCCCTCCGCCCAGTTACAGCAAGGCGCATGAAACGGGCACGGGCAAAAGCTTCCACTTTGAGATGCCGCTACGAACCGGCACCGGTAAGGGGAGTGTTAAAAATGAAAGAGATGGCGAAAAGGTCAAAGACGACAAAGAGCCACCTTCGGAAAGTTACCCGCATATGAGTCGAGGTGATCCTTCACAATTTCCCCCGCACATTGAAACGAATGTGTTTATCGACGAAGGACGACGAGACAGACCCCCCAGCCGGCAGGAACGTCCAAGGAAGTCTCGTTATGGGAAGGCGCAACGAACTCACAATGATGATGAGAGTAGCGAAGAAGACGAGGACC